CCCCAAAACCCCAAAACCCCAAAACCCCAAAACCCCAAAACCCCAAAACCCCAAAACCCCACTATGAAGACTAGAAATTGAAAATTAAATCCTAATTTTTAAGGATTGGAAAACCGTCACTAATATCTTTCTAAGTCAGTTCCAATATGTTTGAGAGGTTTTGTGAACAAGATAGTATTTTTATCTGTAAAAATTAGACTATCCATCTGCAGTCCTGCATGGTCTCTCCTTCAGCCAAGGAATCACCAACACTTACTGTGTGAGTTGTCACTTGAGGCTGTAGCTCAAGAATAGTCGAATGAAAATACTGCATATCTCCTAGATGAACATCAATATGCAGTAGAGAATTTGAATAATAATACTGATATCCTTCTCCTTCTTTATGAGATTTATAGAAACTACTAATACTGGAAGTAACTGGGTGGAAATATAGGTGCTTATCAAGGTACAAGTCAAGATAAGATACTGCAGAAGGATCTAAAATTACTTCTGATTCTTGGTTTATCGAATATTTAACGTTACCATCACCATCATTAATGTCGAATTCACCATCGATCATCAGTACATCAAACATTGTGCCATAAATAGTGGTGTCTACTCAATCGGAAGAGCACTTAAAGAGATCAAAGGAGAGGATAGAATAATTAGATCCTTGCATATTCTGATGCAAAGCTAATGTTGCATAATGAGAAGGATCAATGCAAGCATAAGTCTCTATTCCTATCAAAGTAAGTTGGTCAGCAAGTTCAGCTGGGAACATATCTGTTGTACAAGAAACCATGCTGAGTACTGTCGATCCTAATGTTGATCCTCCATCTTCTGAATAGTTTACTAAACCTCCTACTGAAAATGAACCAGGGTCTATTATGTTTCCTCTCCACCCAAATGCGATGTTGAATCCATACATAAAAGGGTAATGAACCTCTGTGCTATTATATACAGAACTATACATCTTTAAAGTTGTCTCTTTATTATATTGAAGAAATGGCAGAGTATCGCTTGCTGTGACCTCTCCTGTAACAGGGGTTCATAATTCCTCGCTGTGTTCAGGACATGTAGTCTTAGTATCGCAAACATAGGTGTGTGGACCGTAAGTAGTTCCGTCATCGCCTCCTCCAGAGCTGCTTCAATCTAAAGTGCCAGTTGCAGGTGTCATTGCAGTAGAAGTAGTTTCTTTAACAAAAGAGTTGGTGAGTAATACGACTGTGTAGCCCACCATTGCTCAGAAAATTAGTATTGTGGCCAGCCCTCCACATCAAGTTTTGTATTTCTCCTTCCCATTTTTGGTAAAAGCGATCGGTTTAGTCAAACCATGATTGCTTTCTAGCATTTTATATTATTATTAGACTTCATGGGGTTTTGGGGTTTTGGGGTTTTGGGGTTTTGGGG